GGGGTGGCACAGTCCCCCACCTACCACACGCAGCAACCTCCGCTCCTTTCAAACATATGATTGGCTGGTGCTGCCCCACCAAATGATCCCCTACACCACTACACCAGAGCATGAATAGGACCGTTAGGAATCAGAGTACATTTACTTGAGTATTTTACTGACATTAAATATTTTCTAAGAGAGAAAAATCAAGTGAGTAGTACGGTTGTTTCCAGAGGAGCTGCCCTCTTCTGGCCAGAGAGAGGAACTTATCGTACTGTTAAATACGTTTCATGTGTTTCCAGCAGGTTTGCAGAATAATGAGTTTTGATTTGCAGTGAAAGCGTGTTAGCATTAGGTCTGCTATCCTTCAACATAACATAAGCTGAGCAGTTAGCATGCCACCCATCACACAGACTTTGTGTACGTTCACCTGTCAGCACAGAGCTGCACCTTTAAACCTTTATCTCTTCAGTTAACTTACAGCATCATTAATCCGGCTGTGTGCCACATGCATACACGGTATGTACACATAGATTTACAGGATCTTGACTTTTTGTGGTGCCAACCAATCAGCACATTCAACAAACACCAGGAAGCTGTCCCCTGTCTTTTATCTTTAAGAACCTTAAGATGTACTGCTGTACAATCAATGCTCACATAACGGCCCGAGTGAATTCTGTAAAAAGCAGGAGCATAATAAATAATTATCATCATCAGTCCGACTGGGATTGTTATTGTGATCAGCTCACGCGTTCTCGTACCTCTAAAATAAGGAAACAATGACAAATCCTAATACTGCTCAACAACCTGAAATCCAATACTACCAATAAATACTCACATATAACAATTAATCATCAAAATCCTTATCTGATTTATCTGTTTGTTTAAGAAAAGCAGCAGAGACTAAAACATCACGTTCAAATCTCTTGGAGCCTACATTTCCCATGATGCAACCTTGTCTTAGACCCTCCTGCCCTTTAAACTTGACTTTTAGTTTATATTAATATTTATTTTCCGATAAATTTGAATATTTTCTGATTTTAA